ACCCCGTTAATTTGAAAAAGTGGGAAAAATACTGAATATTTAAAACCACAAAAGCCAATAAAACAAACAAACAGTGAACTAAAAGTACTTGAGTTAGACGAAAGAAAGAGGGAAGAGTACGAGCAGCACATGCAACAGCGCGAGTAGTAACAGATGGAAGAAGTGGGAAAAGAACATAACTAAAATGGCGAGGTTTGTTTGGCGACATCGAAAAAATACCACAAAATGAAATCCCAGCGCGACCACAATATATGCACGCACACATAAACCAACATACATATATGTATGCGTAGGTGTACGGATGACATGAGGTAGTCAGCTAACCATTTCTGTAAGGCTGTTTTTTCCTAGCATACTTACAGACGCTCAAAGCTGCAAACAATGAACGCTTGAGTGACGTTACATACAAATAAATATATATGTACATACACACATATGGCTAAATTTAGACAAACACGCTAAGTAACTAACTAACTAACTGTTGGTGGGAGCGGCTGACTAGCAAACTTGCCGCAAACAGCACGTGGGCACCTGCTTACACCTTTTCTACTTTCGAACTCTTTCTACACCGTCTACATGCAAAAAAGCACCACGTACTTCACCTAACGCCAAGGGTCACGTATTGTGACGGCTTCTAATATTTATTTTTATAAAAATGTGAATATGTATGCGTTTGTGTGCATGAGTATGTGCACGAGGATTAGAAGTGTACGGGTTTTATGGTCACAACTGAATTTATTTCAACTTTTAGTTATTGTATGAAATTCGTCAAAAGGGATTTGACACAGTTCGGGCCAGCAAATGGCATATGTGGTATCGGAGAAGAAGCTCTAGTTCGGAGCTCTAGTAAGTAAATATGTAAAGTATATTTGTATATTAAGCTCAGCTGCTTCTAAATGTGTCTAAGCGAGTAGTAAAGGACTGTGATATTGCATGTGCTTTTCGATGCACTTGTAGCGGCAGGCAGTTGTACAACCCGAATTCTTTCAATGCTTGTTGGTTTATTTCTGCCGTTTGTTGGCTTTACAGCAAACTTTTTTTCTAAAAACTTTTTCTCTTGTTCTTGCTATTTAGTGAGAGAGAGAAAATAAATATTTATTGGCCCATCATTGACACTACACTTATATCGTCATTGTCGTGTATATTCCATCGGTGGTGTGGGATTGTGTGTTCAACCACTTAAAGTAAACATAATAATGAAAGTTAATCAAGATCTATTTTGCTGAAATCGTTATAACTTTGTGTTCATATCAGAATAGGAATGGAATATGGGGATGGCTGCACTGTTTTGACAGGGTGTATGAAGTTTGTTCGCATATCGATATATATTGGGCGCTTTGTAACCGCTGAAGCGATTTTTCGGCCAAGCTCCTGCTCCAATTTGTGGTTTTGCGTCTTGATATTTTTCGAACAAATGGAGGGACCTACAGTTTATACTAAGCCGCCTCCAAACGGCTGATGGTTTTTTATGTCCGAAATACACTCAGAGAGGTGGACATTCCTTGACTTAAGTTTTTATTTAAATTAATTTTCCATAAGTTTTGGATGTTGTTGGCATCGGGATCTGAGCCTGGGCCTTCGAAATGCCAATACGCAACGCTAAGCACTCGGCTACCGTTGCCGCGGTTACAATATTAATCAAACTTCATAAATTAGAAACTGCATTAGTCTAGTCGATTTGGCTGTAAATCTTCGTCTGCCCGCGTATCTTATTGAAAACTATAAATTGTTGGGCAGTATCAAACATATTACTGTACATTAATTCAATCGGCTGACAACCATTCACTAAGTTCGTGGTTTGACACCACTTGATAAAAAAAACTTAAATGCATAGATTTCATTGTCTCTATGTGGACACATTATAGAACATCTACTATTGAAACCTCAGTTTGTTAACCATAGAACCGCAGATTCGCAATGAGTCGGAGCTCGGATGGAAGGTCCTGATGCACCCACTTTATAGTCCGGACCTTGAATAGACTTAAGACACAAAACGCGTCCAAATAATAGACGGAAAGTGAAGTTTGTAAACCAAAATAATAACTAACAAAAAAAAATATGTATAATCGAAACTTACAAATAAAGCGGCATCGTGGTGCTGCCACTAACTCTTCAAACAGGTGATGAAGCGAGAGAATAAAACAAATGTTTTCTTGTTTTTATTTTTGCAACACGACTCATTTCTCAAACAGCCACCCGGTTAAACACTTCCCTTCAGCCGACTGCAGCTGATGGCAGGCCAACGATTGCACAAGTAGTGTAATTTATAGCGACAGCTAAGTTGCAGTGGAGCTTCCTAGTGTGGGTAGTAATTTCAAAGGTGGCAACAGATGGGTCACAAGCTATTTGCTTTGTCACACGTTGGGTGTTGTTATTACATTTTATTTGTATGCATTTTTGCCTGTGTTTGTGTTTGCATTAAAGAAGAACTGTCTTACTGTGGCAAGCCAACAATAATTCCATGTAGCACGTGACTTTTATGGTCATTAAACAGCATGGCATTTCTTGCTGGCTAGAATCGTTATGGCTTTTCTTGGAGCAAGAAGCATTTTCCGGTTGCTTAGGTACCAAATATAAGTGCCGAAGCCGTTATAGGGTGACTTTATAGGTAAAGTCAGATTGATTTCTTTCCTCTAAAACAAATAAGTATTCAGCAATTCGTAAATCACCTCTCCCAGATATTCCACCACCGATCTAAGTATTCCACGTTTTTCACTAACTGCCAAACAGTAGTTGATCTCCTGTGTGCAGAACATAATTTCAACAGCCGACCGAATTCCAAACATGCGCCGGTCTACGATTATGAGAAGAAGCAGTGTATTTATTTGTGAGCTTTCTTGGCTGATGACGATTCAATAGACTAAAATACCAGAATGAGAAAAGACTGTAAGAGTAGGTGAATTATTCCCCCATGATTTTCTTTACAAATCTTGTTTATAATGTTGAAAAAGGAAAGTATTTGTATACTTTAAACACGACATAAAACACCCTTTGCATTAAATACTTAAAAATGCTTTTCACACCCCTTGCTTGTATATAGCTTGCCTGGAAATTTTGGCACTGAATAACATATCGCCAGAGCAATTTGGCAACAGACCAGCCGCCAACGAAGCAAGTCAACAGTGAACTCAGTTAAAGCATTGTGAAGTAAGTAATATCCAGCAGTTGGCAGTCGCTTGCTTTGTAAGCTCTACAGAAACAAAAAATGCCTGGATGCTGAGTGCTTGACAAAGGGTAATCTCTCTTCACTTACAGTTATGATTTTAATTAAGTTTCAGTTTAATTTTTTGCAATGAATGATGGAGGTGCCGAGGAAAAAATAAGAAGAGAATGATAAAGTAAGATAATATTTTAAAGAATTTGCAGTGCCGGAAAATTAACCAGCATTGTAAATATAATATGATATCGCGAAAATTAATTTCGGATCTGGATAAAAACTGAGTTTAAGAGCAAGGTCCGCCGTAAGATGATGCGATTCTCTTGAAAACATTGGCCTGAGTGTCGCACTGAGTTGAGTCATGTTCAAGAAGGATTTTTTAAAACAAAGGATTCCCAATTTATATGTATAATATATAAAAGAACCAATGCTTCTTAGCTAGTGAGGCTTGGACCTTTTTACTTAAAGATCGTCGAGTTTCCGTTGCAATTTCGCTGTGTAAAAATATTAAAAATATTCTGCAGCGGACTAAATTTTTATTACACTCCGAGCTTTCCATATTTTACCGCATCAGTGATCTGAATATTCCAACATACTTACGTGATAGTAATCTCACAGCCTAAAAAGATTCAAAAAATAATGCGAAAATATAAAATCTCAAAACCTTTTAGCTCATTATTGTGAACTCAAATTAATGGAGGGGCCTCCATTCTCAATCTTATTTACCTTTCTATACATATTCGTGTTTATATATACATTTAGATATTCATATGTACACGTACTTAAGGATGCAATGACTGCAGCTTATGTACAAAGGAATGAATATTGCAACAACAAACAGACCGCTGTGACAGTTATGGGCTTTACCGGAAGCGGATATTGTGTGCATTTTGAATGCACAAGCACTTCCTTATCACGTACATGCATGTATACATACATACATACATTTGTTACCGACTCGCAAATATAGGAGGCCTGGCCATCATATGTACATACAATCCACAAATACCTATAATCAAGAAATCTATAAAAACAAAATTAACAAACTCGTGGCAGCCAGAAACTTCTGGTGAAAATTTCTAGGAGTAACAATTTTCAACAATCAGAGATTTCCTTTTGCTGTCGCTTCGTGTACTCACGGGAACATACTCTTGAATTAAATCACAACTCTAGAATTTCCAAACTTTTATGCAGCTTAATATGAGTGTTTTCAGTTTTTTGTTGGTAATTATTTGAAGCTCATAAATTAAAGGGGTATCTTTTTGTCTTCATTCAAATCTTTATTTTCTCTAATTTTCTACCTTTATTTAGTTGTCATAATGCTTGTTTGAGTGTGGATATAATTTTATTTATTATTCATTTCAACCTTCAATAAATGCTTGTAGCCTGGGTAAATTTTAATACATTTTGTAAGTAAGTGAGTTGTAAAAGTTTCTCCCATGTACGAGTTCATATGTTAGTTGCTAAAATTTAGAAGATACAATTAAAACTTTCTAATTGCATTCCGTTGAGCCAAATAATTAAGATCTTCGATTTTATATAAGGAGAATGGATTGATTTTAATTCTTCATTCAGAATATTATAATAAGATCAAGGTGTAGGCTAAATATCTATTTTACCTGATATTTGTTAATTTTTTTTAGAATGATTCTACTTTCAATCACATTTTGACCTCGCTCTTCAGCCCAACTGATCCCACTTGACACATCCTAACACCCGAGGTTTACTACACATACGCTTTTTTACAATTTCTCTTTTGCTTTCATGCGGTGTAATTACACTTGTATAAGTTAAGTTAGCTTATGATATGGTTGTGGTACTTTTTTTGTATAATTCTGCTTACCTTTATCATCAGTGGGCGTTGTTTGCTCATTACTCATCTTGATGGATTTTTTACCTTGCTTTTTTTCGTCTCGTTGTGTTTGAGTTTTTCGTTTGGTGTGCTTTTTGTTATGATTTCCTGCGGTCCTTTTTATATTTTATTATAATTAGATATTAGTTTGGTTGACTTTGCCTTTAGATACTATAGTTGTTGTTATCGTATTGTTTTTATTTGAGTTTTTTGCACCATTTTTAATCATGTTTTTTTTTACTTGCAAATCATGGAGTCTATTACTGATATTATATTTATAATACCTTTTGGTGCTAAACTTCAAATTTTCAATTTTATTTTTTTCTGCTTTTATGTTTAAATGTACAATATATATTTTTTTATATCATTTTAATTAATTAATTTAAATAGTTTTATTTTTAACTTTTTTAATATCTCATTTAATTGTTTTCTATGGATTTTCTATAGATTTAATTTTTTTCCAATTTGCATAAATTTTTAATTTTCTGTCTACTCCTCCACGATGTGATGTTTGCTCGCCTTCTTAGCTGCATTAACATAATATTTCACCGTGTTCATAGCTTGCTCAATTTTATTGTTGTTGTGCATGATAATTTTTTTAAAATTTTCACCGCCCAAATTTTACTGCCCATGTATTGGTGAAAAGCTCATAATTCAACAGTCGCACCAGCATCGTGGCCGTAACCGGACTCCGCGTTGTTGTCGTTATTGAGCTACCTGACCGAGGCAACCTCGCTGTGTTGTAACTCTGCGCCATTTTTCAGCACAAATTCAAATGTACGAGAGAGGGTGTCTTTATTTTTATTGTTGTTATTTTATTTCATTTAGTGAAGATGCTTTACAAAAGATGCTCTCCTCGATTGACTTTTTACGGTTGGGAGACGTGTATTATTATAGCTGGCAGCTTACATACATGTTCCTACACACTATAATGGGCAGCTTGGCGTGGGACACTTGTGTAAAAATTGTGTTATAGCCTGAAAATTTAGAAAAGGAAACATTGAAATACATTTGTATTATGTTATTAATATGTGTAATCTACAAAAGGACTACAAGTAACACTAACGTAACTAGTAAATAATTGATATATTGCTAAATTATGGCGGCTAAAATTGGACGTTGTGATTGCAATCTGAAAATGTTCTATATGAGGTGAAAGAGGGAGCATAAAGATAGAGTTTAAAGTGTGTTAAACTCGCTTATTTTTTTATTGGCGTAGATACCAATTACGCGATTAGAATATAGTCGTTTCTTCTTTTCTCCCTATGACGTCAATTAGAGACATCAAGCGCCGTCAGGTTCTTCTCCACCTGATCTTTATTGCGGAGTTTAGGTCGTCCTCTTCCCATGCTTACTCAAAGCTGGAATGATGTCAGCCGTATGGAGGACACGGCCGAGCCAGCGTAATTAGCTGAGTTACATATGTCAATATTCTTGAATAACTCGTACAGCTCCAAAGTCTGCGGTATTCGTCGTTCGAATGTTGTTGTTGTTCGGGTTCTATGATAACTATCTACGAACTCAAAGTTATGGTAAGTAGATATTTACTATTTAGCGCACTACCAGATTCATTAGCCTAGGGCAACAACTACTCCCACACCTTTGTCCTCACAAAGTCGAATGCATGGTGCATTAACAAAAGGTACCCAACAAAACTTGGTAGATAGATATTTTTAATGGGGACTAAAATCCAAAAAAAAGGCTGACATAGATACAGAACCGACAACCTCCCATATAACGGACGAACTATTTTTGACCGATTTGTGTTTTAAGTTCGATTCGGTCCCATCCAAAAAAGGTATTCCTTACTTGTTTAAATTTGCTTTATCTATAAACGTTTGTATGTGTGTGCGAAAGTGTTTATTTATGTTTCCCTTTCAATACCAATCTTTACCTTTGTCCCCTCTGTGGGAATGCAAAAGCTTTAAATAATTTCATATCACAGCTCAACGAATTCTGAACACAAATTAATCATTTTCCAAATCCACTTTAGTTCTGAATTGCGTTATTGCCATGAGTATGGAGATGGAATGCTATTGAACATAAGCCACCGGCAAAATATTTTTCAATAATTTAATTGTATTTTACATGTATTTAGCTTTTTCATCCTATAAGCAGGTAATCCCTACAGTTGTCAGCCAATTGCTATGAAAGCTATTGAATCGACTGGTGGAAAGCAACAAAAATTCTAAGTCCTATTAATCCACACAATCTCTGCTTGGTGTGCACAAAAAAAAACATACCTACATACATATGCATATAGATATTAATCTACAGTCATATGCAATTTTATTAGCCGAATGATATGATTTTCAATTTGTATTGTATATGTATACGCTAGTACATACTATGTTATATATGTCGTGCCGATATCGAATAAATGTATCGTAGGTCAAGTAGTATCTATGGATTGTAGTAGAGTTGAGTACCATTGCGGAGCAAATAAAATAATTTATATATATGTTTGCACTAGATTTTCACGAAAATAGACAATGCAACCAAAAATTGATTATCAACAAACAAAACATTCGCAGCTTCACGAAAAGTCCTCAACGAAATTTCGGCCCTTTATTACATTTCACTGTTTCTCAAGAAAATTTTATTAGTAAGTATATTGTATAAAAGTTTGTTATTTCTGTATTCAGATCTAAACGTTTTTAGCTAAATTTTTTGACTGGCAGGACTTGAACTCTCCTTGTTTCCATTTACTTATTTCCAGCTTTATCGTTTCGATTATATTTTTTTTGTACAAAATAAACATGGTATTCGGACCGAAAGATCTGCTTCAAGCATCAGAAGTATCGTCCTCTCATCAATCAGTCTTTCTGCTTTCTATTTTACTTTCTCCGAGTTATTATTCTTTCTACAATTTTGTCTATAAAATTGCAGCTTATTTGACATTTGCACAAAGCAAAATCAATTTTTATATTCAAATATGGTTGCACGATAAGGCTACAGAGTATTAATATTTGTAGCGATGTGACAACGTGACTGCGGACAATGGTCGGCCAGTGCTATGAGTAGTGGTTAGCTTTCGATTCTAGTCAAGTCAACAGCTGAGTGGCATTTTGTGCAACGCATAAATAATAAAAACGATAATATCACCATAAGCATGATTCAGTAAGCAAAATTGAATGAAGAAGTGAATGGTCGGTCGGTCGGTTGGCAGCTAAAATTGATTACTCCGGGCGATTTGCTTGGAATTGTGTTTTTTATGGTAGTTTGTGGCTTTATTCTAGCCATAATTTATTTTGTAAGAATTTTCGATGGATGGTGTAGAAGAGAAAGTAAATAAAAACGAGATTAATTACATGCGCTAAAAACCTCGCTTATAAATTTTTTCATTAAAACATTTTTTGGTTTTAATACGATATAAAATTTTAGCGCGATTTAACAGAAAAGTTTTAAAAGCCCTGGAAAGGTTTCTTCTTCTTCATTGGCGTTGGCATCGCTCTCGCGATTATAGCCCGTTCCTATCTCCTTTTCGCTGTCAGAAATAGCAGGTCACTCTTCAACTGATCCTTCTAACGGAGTTGAGGTCTCTCTCTTCCTCTGCTTACTCCAACGGATACTGCATAGAATATTTTCAAAGCTGGATTGCTTTCATCCATTCGGAATACCAGTTATATAGCTACTGTCTTTTCAGTCGCTGAATTATGTCAGAGTCATCACATAGCTCATACAGCTCATCGCTCCATCGTCTGCGGTATTCGCCGTTGGCAATGCGCATTGCGCGACTTGTAAAGTTTGGTTTGTTTGGTGACATGGGAGCTGAGTCGCTAATGCGACGTCTGTTTGTTTGATGATAGGAGATTTTTTGTTCTTTCGCGTCCTTATCAAATATCTAGGTATCCAGAGAAAGAAGAACTCACTACACGGCGGTTGAGGCCAATAATGATTGTTGCGCTCCAAACACCTATCATTCTTCCTTCTATCTTATATCCGGCCAAGTGGGATTTAAAACGATTTCAGGTGATAAAATATTTATCGCACATTTGGATGAGTATATTACTTCCACCAATTAGTTGCACAAATAATTTTAAATAATTTATATATCGCCCTTTTCTATTATACCACTTACATCGGAAACACGTATACCCCATAGAAAAGAATGTGTTACAAAGGTGAAGGATGTTTTCAGTAAAGATATTTTTGCCAATTAACTGTTTTTTGTTTAATGTAAAATGCGAGAAGCATATAAATACTACCTATATTTTTGGATAAACAAAATCGCCAAGTTTTGTTTAACAAAAATAGACCCTTGGCTGTCCCTTAAGTACTAAAAATATTTATTTACTTTACAAGTAGTAAAAAAAGTTTGTCCTAATCTTAGCTTTTCGGTATTCCTTTCGATTCCTTTATCGTTAAAAAATTTAATTTTTCCAAAGCTTGCAGGTAAGCTAAGAAAAACGCCCCAAAAGCATTCATTAGAAAACTGAAGAAAAACTACAATTATTTAGTATAGCAGAATGCACCGTTCTTCCTTAAAGCCCACTCTGATTTCTAGGTCTTCAATGGAATTCCTCGTTCAATTTCGCTTAAAGACAAGTTAAATGATAAATATTTAATAAACTACTCTTTATTGGCCGATTTAGGGGAAAGTTTTATTACCATGCGGAAGGCATCTACATAAATCGGGCGACATAATCACTCAGCAGAGTCGGTAATTCCAGCAACCATGGATCGGTTTCGCACCATGTTTATTCTAGTGTTTATTCATGCAGAGACTCCGTACAGTTCACACCAACGACGCTATTGCTGCTGTGGAACAGAGCATCGAAGAAAACCCGACTGTGTCCACCCGCCGCAACTGTGGTATTCCAGTGCGGAAGGATCTTGGTTTACGGGCAATTCGTGCAAAAAATTATGCATAGCGAAGAAGAAGAAACAATTGTCGTATTTAGAGTGATGAGAATGATTGTGGCGTTATGTTAAGTCGCTTGTTTACGCAGATAAACCCGAGACAAGTGATGCCATGGAGAAGAATATTCGGCGCGTTAATGCTGACATACCGCCCCAATTGATGCAGAAAGTGGGAAGTCTGGGCCATAACATTAAATCATATTAGTCTAATTTCTTTATAAAAATCACATGTCTAAAAACACCTTCTTAATTAAAGGCGTGTGCTTAGAAGTACCTTAAGTCTTACGATTACCTACATTTACTTTTGTACTTAGTAATTAACAGTCAAGTCATTTAAATATTTTGTCGTTTTGTGTGTTCCTGCGAATGTTG